CTGTCCGCGATTCCGCGGAAGTACGTCTACTTCCACGAGAACCAGTTGGCGTATCCGCTGCGGCACGGTGACACCAAACCGGACTACCAGTTCGCGTGAGTTTGCGCTGGGTTTCCCGCCTCCTCTTTTTTTCACAGCCGGCCAATGAAACCGCGAATCCGCCCAGGGTTGAGTTTTCATTGGTTGGCAATAAACTAACTTCGGTTTTTAACAAATCCAGTGGCTATTGAAAGGTATTTTAGGACGTCTGCTAATATTATGTTCTTAAATAATTAATAGATGTCATTTTTGGCGATATTCCTCTCAAAATCTATCTACTGAAGTCAAGAATGACGGGATTAAATCGGGCCTGAATCATGTTGCAAGCGTGGCGAACCAGTGCTAACCACAGAAAAAGGTCATTTTGTCAATTTAATGCGATCGCAGAGGTGCTGCCGACGCTAACGATCGAATCACACGTTTTCTGTCAACAACTGATTGGTCAGGACTGGGGTACATTCGAAAGGAAAGCCGGCAAGATTTTGCTAATCACGAAATCCAGCTTATTTTTTGTTTCCGTGTAAAATGATGGAACCGCAGTATCAGCCGCCTTTTGAACACGGTCAACTCCAGTAATCATGTCAATGGTTGCGATATTTTTTGCGCAGGTAGTTATATGACCTTAATATTGGGGTACAGTGTTGAACTAAGGATTGGAAGGGCGTTTTCAGAACTACGGCGCGTCGTGCCATATTGATATTTGCAAAAACAGGATTCCAAGTATCGACGAATCGGCTTGGTGGGGCCAGTATTTGCGCATCTTAATTTCCAAACCTGTAAGCCTTGAATCGACGTGATTGGTGGATTTCTTGAGAGCGAGCGTCTTCCTTCTCTTCCAGCTACATTCAAGTCCTCTCAGCCGTGGTCGCGGACCTCGTCTTCTTCAACTCCGAGTTCAACATGCGCGGTTTCTATGACCGATTGCCGGCGTTTCTCGGCGCCGGCCTTCCCACACCGCCCATCCCACGCGTGCCCGACCCACGCACCCTCGTCTCCGACATTCTTCTGCCGAAATCCCGCGTCCTCTACTTCCTCGTCGACACGCCACTGTCGTGTTCCACGCACGAGGCGGTGCGCAGTCAGGCGGAACGCATTCGGCGCCGGGGAGATAGCCATCTCAAGATCCTGTGGAATCATCGGTGAGTGATATTGACCCTCGACTTCGCAACTTTCCGATCGATAATTCATGCCAAAATTGCATAATATCATTCAAAATATGATGTAGACAGCTCTTAGGATTCAAACGGCAAACGAGAAAATATTATTTATGCAAGAATTGTATTGAAAACAAGCTGTCGGTCGGAGAGCTGGGATTGGCGGTGTGTGAGGACAATGGAACGATTAGCAAGAAACCATTGAAAATGAAACACGCACAAAACAATGAAACCAACTGTCTTGAAACCACGTGGAAAATATCCAAGCGAAACGAGCAACCCGATTGGTGGTTTGGCGGCGCCATTTTAGAACGACTTAGTAATTAGCTTACGTACTGCTTTGTATGGTACTCAGTTTTAGTCGAGAATTTTGGTATGGCCTTGGCTTATTTCAGACGTCAACAGAGGAAAGTGATTGGTTGAGCAAAATTACTACCTCCAGTGGATGACAAATGATTGGCTTTCGTAAACTGACACCGCATAATTTCGACCAGAGCTTCGTTTGTACGGCAGTCGGAACGGTGGCGTCTGGGGGTAGCCCTGGTTAATTGCCTATTCCGGTGTCGTGATTTGTGAATAGGCTCCCCCGTTTAAAGGAAGAATACGCGATGATGATGTTGTTGTTGTTGTTGACGTGAGCAGCGCCTTCATTCATTGGCTGCCTGGGTAGTTGAGTGAATCGCGTCCGCGACAGCGCCTCTGTCGGGGCAACTATGGTGAACTGGAATTTGGAGATCATTTCAACCAATCAGAATTAACCGTATTGTTAGATAAATCTTAGAAAAAAATGGGAGTAAAGTAAATACACTGCACGTCCTGTGACAAGTTCCTGACCATTCCCTGAACATCCCATCACACCGCACAGACATAATTTCAGGCGTCTGAGATCAGGTGAGCCTGGAAGAAATTTTAATGGAACCATTTCGCTCCATCCCTC